GTTTAATTGCGAAAATATCAACATCATAAATAGTGCAAGAACCGTGGATACTATTTTATATAGGGGGTTGTTTAGAAATAAATTATTTTAATTGATTATTTTTATGCTTTTCATAAAAAAATATGTAAAAAAATAAAAAGAAAATGTGTGATTGAATATTTTATTTTATTAACTATTTTAATTTAATTAAATTATTTTGAGCCTTTTCAAATGGGGGCATTATGTCAGTGGCTAATAAAAAATTATAAAATAAAATATATAACTTGTCTTTCACTAAAGTCGGTCAATTAATTAAAAAATCTTATATTTACAAAAATATTAATTTATTTGATAAGTTTATTTTATTTTGTTGGCAAAAACTCAATTTATTTTAAAAAGTTAAAAGATTAAAATGTACCAAATATTTTTTTTAGAAGACATACTTTTAACAAATTTAAACTACAATCCAAATCATAATACAATGAGATTTTTTATTTGATGATACTAGTCTAGAGCATACGAAAAATTATAAATAGATGAAACAGTCACAAAATAATTATATTATAGATAAAAAATTTTGAGCCTCCGTTTGGCAAGAAAAAGCCCAGACTTTTTTGGCTAAAATAGTCATAAAAAACAAAATAGGCTATTTTAGCCACAAAAAACAAAACATCAAATCCAACCCATAATCATTACAATCATGGATTTGTTTAGAAAGAACTTTTTTAACTTAATTTTTACCTTTTTAAGTTCTGTTTGGAAATAATTTTTTTAATTTTTATGAAAAAAAATAATTATAATTTAAATATGATATTTTATCTTACTAACTTATTTAGGGTTGGTTTGGAGTGTCCTAAAAACGTGTACTTTTTGTCTTTTTACGAAAAGATGTGCAGAAAAGTAGAGAGGTGATGTGATGAAAAAAAGATAAAAAAATGAATTATATAGTGTACTCCAAACCAGCCCTTAACATATTATATCTTTTTATATTTGTTTAGTCCCAACCCAAACCCAAACTACTTGCCAAAGCGCAGCTATATATGAGAAAATTTTCATACTCTTAATAATATGTTTTTTTAACTTGGTCCACAATAATATGACATTAAATGCCAAATTTTAAAATATGTAGTACTCAACACTCTTATAAATTAATTATGGGTTTCTAGTGTTTCTCGTTATACATGTTAAAAGACTATCACCTTCTCTTTGCAATAGTTCAACACTCTTATAAATTAGATAAATATTATGATATATACCCCTCAATTTTTTTTAAAAAATTTTTAATTATAACTTAGAAAGTATGAAATTATATGTATATATTTTTAGTTATAAAGTGTATATGGTACGTAACTTTTGAAGGGTGTGTAACATAACGTTTATCTACAAATATATATATATATATATATATATAAAGGAAAGTATGGTTTTTAACCCATAAGCCTCTAAGAGCTCCAAGTTCCTAATATAAATTTTCTAATTTTCTAATTTTTAAAAAATTTCTATTGGCTAACTCTCATTCAAGCAAAAATAAATAAAAAATAAAAATAGAAATGAATATCCCTTGATTTATGACTTTTAAATGAAAGTATATCAAATCTTAAAAAAAAAATTAAAAATATATTAATCTATTTCAAAATTCAAATTTGAGGGCCACTAAATATGAAAAGCAAACTATTAATTTAAATTTAAAGGTTTCACAATATAGACTTAAATTATAATGATCTTATCCATGATTATAAGTTTTAAATATAAATTTAAAATTATCATAATTAGTTCATAATTTTTGTTTTAAATAGCAATAAGAATAACGTTGAGATTATTTATATCTATATGTTTTACAAAAGAATGCTTTTAAGCAGAGATATTATGAGAGTTTTAAAACCTCACACAAAATTATTTTTAAAATCAAAACCTCTATTGACTAGCACATTTAAGTATAAAATTTAAATTCATAATCTATGTATTATTATTATTCCAAAACATTGTCATCTCATTAAGGTTAAAAGTTGCAATTATTTTTTATCATTTTTTTTATTTTGTTTAATTTTTGTTAATATGTGTTACAATATGATCGATCTATAAATTAAATTTATATTCCTAAAATAAAAATTTCAAATTTGGATTCTTAAAATAAAAATTTCAAATTTGGATTCTTAAAATAAAAATTTCAAATTTGGATTCTTAAAATAAAAATTTCAAATTTGGATTCTTAAAATAAAAATTTCAAATTTGGATTCTTAAAATAAAAATTTCAAATTTGGATTCTTAAAATAAAAATTTCAAATTTGGATTCTTAAAATAAAAATTTCAAATTTGGATTCTTAGTTAAATTATGTTACTATAATTAGAATGAAATCAATATTCATTCTTTAAATTATGCATCCTTTAAATTATAAAATAAAATTTCAAATTATATTACTACAATTAGAATGAGATCAATATTCACATGTGTCATAATATTATTGGTCTGAATATAATTTTTTTAAATATACGTGTTCAAATTATTAATCGCCATTAAAAAAAATTATTTTTTTTTTATTTTAAATTTTATAAAAGAGTTTATATCCTTCTAAACTATAAGGATTCGAATAATAATATTTTTTAATATAATTTTTTTTTAACAAATGAATAATTGTTTTAGCATTTGATTATGTTATTTTTTTTTTATCTCAATTGTCAATTAAACAAATTAGAAAAAAAAAAATTTGCTTAAATAGCTAAGTGACTTTTGTTAAAATCAAATAGAAATAAATATATATTTTTTTTGTTAAAAGTTATGGTTGTTGAAACTTATTTTTTATAATAAAGAAATAGGAGTTTTACGTGATAATTCATGGTTCATCTAGACATTTTTGGCACTTGACAAATATGATGGATCGTGCTAATTTTTTTTAATCCCAATTGTCAATTAAACAAATTAAAATAAAAAAAAATATTTTTGACTCAAATTGCTAAAAATTAACTTTTGCTATAACAAATTAGAAAGAAATGTTAGTTTTCTATTAAAAGTGATGATTTATGAAACTTTGTTTTTATTAAAAAAAAATAGGGTTATAGGTGATAATTTATTATTCATATAGAATTATGTTCAAATCAAATGAGAATACTATATTAAATTTTCTTCTTACCCACCCTTTTATTTAAATACTTTTATTTTGTAAGAAATTTATTTTTATTCTATTTAACGTTTTATTGTAATTTTAAATTAAAAAGAATTTCTAAAAAATCATATTTAAATTATTTTATGCTATTAAAAACTTATTGGATGATGCATTTTTAAAAGGTGTATTTTTTAAAAATATTTTCCAGAAAAATTCTATTGTAAAATCTAAGTATATTATTTTTGCTTTTGTTCATTAATATTAAAATTTTAATTAATTTTATTTATTATTTTAAAAGATAAATTACCAAATAATTTTATATATTTATATATTTTGTTTTGGTTGCTGTTATTTGGTATCTCTGCCCAAGCCTATTCAAATTTAATTTGAATTTTTGCATAGCTCATCATTTAATTAAAAATTATGTTATCCAATCTTTAGGAAAGTTGAAGTTAGACACGAATTGTTTGTGTTGAGCTCATTTAAGTTCGAAATTCTAGTAAGGGAGTTAAAAGTTACAAGATTGAATTTGTGATAAATTAAAAATTAATAAATAAATTGTGAAACTTAAATTGTAAATTTTAATCTTTTTTATATATTTATATATACAATTTTGTTTTGGCTGCTGTTATTTAGTGTCTTTACCCAAACCCATTCAAATTTAATTTGAATTTTTAAATTTCTATATATGTCATAACTTAATTAAAAATTATGTTGCCAAATTTTTAAAAAAATTTAAGTTGGACTTGAATTGCTTGGTTTGAACTCAAAATTGCAATTCTGGCAAAGGAGTTGTAAGTTACATGATTAAATTTGTGACAAATTAAAAATTAATAAATAAATTGTCAAACTTAAATTATAAATTTTAGTCTTTTTTGTTTTCATAATTGTTATACAATAATATAACTATTTATACTTCTTCTGTCCTAAAATATTAATTTCTTATTCCATTTTTTATTATCTCAAAATATTAGTCATTTTTCAAAAATAAAGGAATAAAATGATATGAATTTACTATTTTAGCTTTCTTTTAAATTCATTTATAACATAAAAAGTATAATTATGACAATTGATATTTTTAAAAAATAAACTATCAAAGGATAATTTTAAAAAAATAATATTTTTAAAATATAATAACTATACTATAAAAAAAATTAAATTTTTAAAAATAAACTATTATTTTAAGACGGTGGAAATATTATTTTGTACAAATATATATTATGAAAATTTGTAAATGTCGTGGGGATTATTACTAATTTATTAATATAAGTACTCCATTCGTCCCAAATATTAGTCACTTATTCTATTTTTCATTATTCAAAAATATTAGTCTATCTTCAAAAATTAAGTACAAAAATAATATAAATTTTCTATGTTGCCCTTCTTTTAAATTAATAAATAATATAAAAAGTACAATTATGACATTGATATTCTCAAAAAAAATGTACTATCAAAAGGGTAATTTTAGAAAATCAATTTTTTTAAAGTGCAATAACTGTACTACCAAAAAAAATTAGATTCTCTAAAAGGGACTATTATTTTAGGACAGAGAGAATATAATTTTTTTAAAAAAAATCATATCTCACTCTTTTCTTATATTTTTTTAGGTGCATAAGGGTTGAAATAATTTAAATAAATATATTTTTTATTTTTTTATAAAAAAATATAAAAAAATAAAAAGATGGATTATTGAGGATGACAAACCACCGCTTAGCAAATCTTACGAAGTCGTGGTTTGGGATTTGTAATCTGTATTTGATTCCACGATCAAACATGAGGAAAAGAAAGACGGTGAAAGGGTAAGGGTTGAGCTGGACAATTGCCTGCCTTTCACATCTCTCTCTCTCTCTCTCTCTCTCATGATGTGGATCTTTCTTTACCTCTCTCACCAGCGGCGCTATTGCTAGTCTTTTACTTGCTTTCCAAGCTCACCCATCCCCCCCTCCTCGCTCTCTCTCTCTCTCCTCATCCCTTTCATTATATATAAAGCAACTCCAAATCCCAACCCCAACCTCTTCTTCAACCTCTCTCATCCTACCCCCCTTTCTTCTTCTTCTTCTTCTTCTTCTTCTTCAACCTCTCATCCTAAGCTGTTCCAGCTTCGTTACTCACTTTCACACACCCACCCACCCACAAAAATATAGATATATATATATACAGAGAGAAAGAGGGAGGGAGGGAGAGAGAGAGAAAGGAGGAGAGAGAAGATGAAAGGAGAATATGTAGAGGAAAAGGATCACCTAAACATGTTTGCGAAGCTCCACCAGACCCAGAAGTTCCAACAACAACAACAACCTCTCCATCATCACCCCCACCTCACCCCCCACCATCACCACTTCCAACTCGGCCGAGAATCACAAACGTCCGATGAACCCGACAGCCCCACCACCGCCACCGCTTCCAAAAAAGAACCCAACAGCGACGGCGCTACCATCGAGGTCCACCGCCGCCCCAGAGGCCGCCCACCCGGCTCCAAAAACAAACCCAAACAACCCCTCCTCCTCACCCGCGACCCCGAACCCTCCATGGCCCCTTACATTCTCGAAATCCCCCTCGGCGTTGATCTCATCGACTCCCTCAATCGCTTCTGTCGAAAGCGAAACATGGGGATTTGTGTTCTCACCGCTTCGGGGACCGTCGCGAATGTCAGTCTCCGCCAACCCATGACGCCAAACCCTGCTGCTACGGTCACGTTTCATGGCCGTTTCGATGTACTCTCGCTCTCGGCCACGATTTTACCCGCTTCGACGTTGTTTGTGCCGAAGGGGTTCGCGATTTCGTTGGCGGGTCCGCAGGGTCAGATCGTGGGAGGGACGGTGGTGGGGGATCTGGTGGCGGCGTCGACGGTTTATGTGGTGGCGGCGTCGTTTAACAACCCGTCGTTTCATCGGTTGCCAGCGGAGGAGGATGATGTGAGGAATGATGGGTCTGCTGGTGGTGGTGGTGAGAACGAGGGACAGTCGCCCACAGCTGTTTCCGGGGGCGGAGATAGCGGGCATCCGCCGTCTGCGGCGGCGGAGTCATGTGGGATGCCTATGTATAGCTGCCACTTACCTTCTGATGTGATATGGACATCCAGTGCTAGACAACAATCATCTCCACACTACGGATGAGTTTGGTTGATCCTCTCTCTCTCTCTCTCTCATAATTCTGTGAATTTTTTTGGAGTTCATTATTGTGTTGAATTTTCTCATGTTTAAGCTTGGTGTTGGGTATTTAGATTTAGATTTTCTTTCTAGTGAAGGAAACTAAAGAGTAGTGTAGCTCGTCTGTAACAATTTACTTTCATGTTTAATGGTTGGGTTTCTCAATCCAAAATCAATTTTCATATACATGATGTGTATGTATGTATGTATTATTAGATTAAAAAATTAAGAAACACAGTAAGGATGATTATTATGATCATTCTAAATAAAAGTGATAGGATTGATAGTATGAGAATAATGTGATGGTAAAAAAATGAGACGAATTTATTTGATATCTGTTGTCTTTGTTTCTTCCTTGTTAAATCTTTTGATGTTTACTTTTTGTGGTTGATTTGGTAGTAGTGGGAATCAGGGCTTTAAAAGGCCTACCCAGAGGGTGACCTTTTGCCCATAGGTTGATAGTGGGAACGATTCGTCTAAATCTGAAAAGCTCATCCTATCAATCTTTGTTTCGTGTTTTTTGCTGTTGATGAATAATCCCGGAGTGTTTTGGGTTTAATATCAAAGATCTTTTTACTCGATCAAAGCCCTTTGTTAATTTGAATTTGAATTTGAATTTAAATTTTTTTGATATCCATATAAAGATATCCTGTTATAGATTTGTATGTGTTGTTGATATTAGTACATATCTTAAAATTTTTTATTCAAAAAAATGGGGGGTGAACGTGGGGACGAGTAACGGTGGAGGTGGATTGGAATTAGCCTAGCTAATATAGCTTTGAAGTTTGAGACTGATGAGTGAGTCTGACCAGTGACCAATATATCTGCGACTGAGTGCTGAGTTTTCTGCATTAAAATGGGTGAAGAAGACGATGATGCTTTGATAGAGAGAGAGAGAGAGAGAGAGAGAGAATGTTCGATTCGACTTGAATTTTGCATCTTGTGGCAGTTCTGGGTCGTTTCATTAGTGGAACAGGTGTCGCACCTCATGAATTCACTGTAGAAGATCACTCTAGCATTTCACAGAGGATCTTAACGCTCTGATAAAAGCGTGTTGCAGTAGGAAACGTGCCTAGGGTTTGGTTTGTGCGTTGCCAGTTCTTTTCAGTGCTCTGCGGAGATAGAGATAGGGACATGCAGAGAGAGAGAGAGAGAGAGAGAGAGAGAGAGAGCGCGCTTTATCCGATATGATATGATATGTTACGAATGCTCAAGCCTCAAAATACCAAAATTTTCCCTCTCGTTTCTCACTGATCAATCTGTACTTTTGGTTTGTCTGTTTCTTTTGTGGAAAAAAAAGGGTGAGAAAGTAAAAGGATAAAGAGGAGGAAGAAGAATAGGTGTGTGCTTTCCTCTCAAATGTTCACAAATTGGTGCCCTAAATTTTGGTTATTTTTGAGTTATTGGCATTTACTTTTTTATAATCACCGTCCTCCATTGCTAGTAGGTTTAGAATAAGGTCATATTTGGTGGAGTTTTTTATAAGTAAAAAATTGATAATCAGAAAATAAAGTTAAAAGCACTCTTATCTCATTTTTTAAATAATTAGTTTTTTTTAAATTTATTTTAGTTACTTTTGTCTAATAAGTTATAAGTAAAAATCACACCAAACATTGGGGGTATTTGGTGTGGATTATAAGGGGTGATTATAGCTTATTTTAATTTAAGAATATGTGTTAGATTGTTTGGTACAGGTATGCTTACCGTTGTTTAGGTAAAAATAGTTTAAATAAGTTGAGAAAAATTAATTATTTAGAAGTTGAAGAAGAGATGTTTTTGATTTTTGCTTATCAGCTTTTAGTTTATAATAAGTTCCACAAAACAACACCATTCTAGCATAGACTTTCAAATCAAAATAAACTATAATCACTTCGAAAGTTGTAACAAACAGTACTATGTGGGTGTTTGGTAAAACTTAATTTCAAATTAAAGTAGTTTTTGACTTAAATTAAGCTATATTGGTGCGTTTGGTATAGCTTATGAGGATAGCTTATGGCTTAATTTAAGCCAAATTTCAGCTTAAATTCAAAGTTGCTCTGGAGATGCTTAAAAAAATGACTTATGCGCGCAGCTGTTTGGGGAGGGGCTAAATGACTGAAATGCCCCTCCTAATCACCATTATTTACGAAAATGCCATTATATAATCCCATCTGAAAACACTGTTCACTCTCTCTCTCTCGATGGAGGCGATTTCCAGCGAGTGTAGAGGCGATTTCCGGCGGTCCAGGTAATCTCCGTCATTGCGATCTCAAGGCATTCGACACTCATTTTCATCCTCAACACAGCACAACATTCATCGTCATCGCGACCTCTCTTCTCTCTCTCTCTCGATCGTCATCTCGATCTTCCCCGTCCGAGGAAACCCTAGCGCCGTCGTCATCTCGATCTTCCCCGTCGCGATCTACTCTCGAAGCTATAGAAGCTCTCGAAACCAGAGGAAACCCTAGATCTGATCTGCAATCTCACTTGATCTCGTCTCTCTCTTCTCTGTTGTAGACCATCGGCGACGAGAAAGATCGAGGCTAGGGTTGCGGCGTACGGAGGCTCAGGAAGGAAGAGGAAGGAAAAAAATTAAATAAATTAAACAAAAATAATAACTAAAAACAAAATAATAAAAATAATATTGAACAAAATTAATTGAAATAAAAATAAAATAATCAAATAATCAAAATAATAATAAAAATAATTTATTAATATTGAAATAAATTGTGCAATTCATATCCATTAAATAAATAACACAATTTAATTGTAATGAAAAAGAATAATAAATTAAAAAAAGAATTATATTAACATTATAATAATTATATTAATATTAAAAGAATTAAATCAATTACACAATTTAATTGTAATGAAAAAGAATAATAAATTAAAAAAAGAATTATATTAACATTATAATAATTATATTAATATTAAAAGAATTTTATTAACATTATAACAATTTAATTGTAATTAGTATTAAAAAGAATTATATTAAAAAATAATAATAATTAGTATCAAATAATATTAATATTATTTGATATTAATTACATTTTATCAAGTGTAATAATTTTTATATTAGTTGATACTAATTAATACTAATTATATTAACTTTTATTAATGAAATAATTTTTTTAAATTAAAATTGAAAAAAAAATGACAAAATTATCATTTTTATATCATATAAGGGCAAAAAGGTCAATTACACAGAAAAGCTATTTTACAGCTTATTTACCAAACATTATTCTGCAACTTAAATTTATAATCCCATAACTACACCAAACAGGTTACCAGTCTATGCTCACAGCTGTAAGCTATAATCTGTTAAGTTATAATTTATAATCACTTTCTCACAGTTCTATCAAACAGGGCCTATGTCTTTCAACAGAATCAGTCATAGAATAAACACCATACATATACGAACAGATAATGTTTATAATGAATCTCACTAATAAATTTTGTTTATTTATATATATTGTCAATTCTATAATTGATTTGTGAATTCATAGATTTTTTTTTGTTTGTTTTTGTTTGTTTGTTTGTTTATTTTTTTTTTTGAGGAAATGTATCCATAGATATTGATACGGAGGTTTTTAGAACTTCCGAAAACAAGTTACAACTTCCGTCTATCTCATTTCAAATCTATAATGCTATATTTATCCTTTTTTTAAAAAAAATTCAATGTTACAGAGCAAATCTAGGCCTGGTTATTAGAATTCTCATTTTCATTCGGATGTTATGATCTTATGATTTTATGATCCATTCAGACAAAATTTATTCGGATAGCATAGAAAATTCCTTGTATGTATGATATTTCGATCTTAGTAGTTGGATCTTATAGAATTGTGAAATGTTGTTATGAAATGTTGATTTGACGCGATTCAAATTTTAAGCATTGTTGTCAAAATACTAATTTTACGTGTTGTAAACAAATAAAAATCTCATATTAAATTAAAACAGACTAAGAAAAATAAAATAAATATTCAAATATTGCAGTAGTTTAAAAAAACTAGAGAGTCTAAAAAATAAACTCATTCTGAGGTCTTCTGGAAAGCACAAAAAAAAGTTTATTTTTAGTTTTTTATTCATTTTGGATCACATTATTTTTTACATTTTTTACTTACAAAAAGACAATAGATTAAAAAAATTAAAAAAATTTCTCCTTATCCAGTCCGTCCAAACAAATACACTCATATTGTATACATACCAACCTTCCCTTAACCGTTAATAATATTAAAAATTATATTAAAATATTTAGATAATTTGATATACATTATTAGATTTATTTCTTAACAATTTAAATTTATAAGAAAATTAAGAACTTAACATGATATTGCCTCTGTTTGGGAAGGAAAAGCCCAGGCTTTTTTGGCTAAAATAGCCATAAAAAACAAAATAGGCTATTTTAGTCACAAAAAACAAAACATCAAATCCAACCCATAATCATTACAATCCAGACATTAGTTTCCATTAGTCAAACTTTTCCAAAATTGGGTAGTAGTGTGTAGTGGTCAAAAGTTTCCAAGGTCAAGACTATACGCAAGTTTCTTTCCTTGAGCCCCTTTTGTGGACTCCTTGTTTGCCCACTTTCTCATCTGGCTGCTCATATTTTTAATGGTAAATTACAAACTCATCCTTGAAGTTTATTTAAATTATAAATGATTTCTTATAATCTTAAAAATTACATTATGCCGTTAAGATTTTTAATTTCATAACAAATAAGTCCTTTTATTAATAAATTATCAAGTTAATCAACAGTATTTTATAATATTAAAAAAAATTAATTAATAATTCAGATAATTTTATTATTGTACAAGTGAATAGTTAAAAATTTTAATTTTTCAATTAATTCTGTTAAATAAAAAATTCTGACAGGAATGTATTTATGATTCTTCAAATTAAAGGAGGCAATTCTTATTTTAAGCAAATCTCATGAGGTGTATTTATAATTTACCCTATTTTAAAGCAAAATGCTAAAGTTCCTAGAATTTGTATTTCAAAAATTATCTTAAACATGATTTGTATGATATAAATTTAAAATGAGTGTGATTTAGGTCAACACTAGAATTTTAGATGATTTTTTTACATAGACCTTGTTTAGGAAGTTAATTATTGTAGTTGATTGTTTGAATTTTTGACTATTTTAATCTGACTAAAATAGTTGTATTTGGAAAGTTAGTTGATTTTTTTTATTTTTTTATTTTTTGTAA